AAAAATAATTCATTGCATATAATGTATTTTTATTATATTCTTTCAGGATCACATCACCAAAGCCTGTGTCTGTAGTTGCCTGTGTGTTACCAAAGCCTCTAGTTGGCGCTAGCGAGACTCCGATGTAAAGTCACGTTTTCAAAGAAGAAGTCACGCTGTTAAAACTTTTCCAACGTGCTCTGAAGCTAAATTATAATCTCACATAGTGTTTATTAATTTTACGGGTCAGCTAACTGTGAGGTGACACTGCAGATTATATTTTTCAAGTGTTTATATGTGTAATCGCTTTGTTAGTTCAAATTAATTCGTTACCATACAAATAAATAACCGTGCTGGCGCTTCCGCGGACGGTTCCACACGCAGGTACCGCAAGTTCTGTAACGGTGCTTTCAGTGATTTAATAATTATTTAAAAACTGTTAAATTAGATGAAATAAAATAATGTATGTGCATTTATTGAGCTTGCATTTATCAAATATTTTTGTTGTATGGATTTGATGCTTAGTTATAATGTGAGTTTACTTGTATAAGCCACTTTTTTGTGTGAAGTTATGCTCAGTAAAGATTAATCTTTTTGTTTCAAGTTGAAAGTTGTTTACTGATGTAGTGCAACAACAATACAATTTTATTTTACCAGAAAATACTAACTTTTTCTGTGTGTGCGCGCACAATAATAAATAAATAAATAAATGATTAGTGTGTCCACTTTATATTAAAGTTCACTTTCACAGGTTACTAACGTTTATAACTCATTAATAAATGGTTCACAAGTGTTCACTTTACATTAAGGTGCACTTTCACAGGTTATTAATGTTTATAAATCATTAATAAATGGTTCATTACATTAAGGTTCACAGGTAATATTGGAATTAAAATTTTCAATATTAATATCTCATCAAGTCATGGTTGTGCTTTTATGATTTTTCCCCAAAAATAAAAACCAAGATGATAATTTCATCCTGATAAACAACATATATCAGTTTCTAATCATTGGTGTGGATAGGCATCATTAACTTTTGCAGAGAATCATGGTAGTAGATTCTGGTAAGAAACATTGTAAGAAAAGTGACATGAGTCATGAGATATCAATCAGAAAACCATAAATACAACACCCTTCAGTCTTGATATAATAGTAAATTTTTGCTGCATCATGAAATAAATCAGGAATCTGGTTTTGAGTGAAATAAGTATTAATAAATATATTTGTTAAGCATTTAAAACATGAGTTAAAACTGGCTCACTATTTGGCAGGTATTGCATTAAAATCACCCTTTTTATTCATGTATTTATAACTGGTTATCAATTATTTATTATGCAGTTGTAAATGAGTCATTAGTCATTTACTAACACCTTTGTAAACCCTTTATAAAGGGAAGCTTAATATAAAGTGTTACCAGTTTTTCTAAATACATTTTTATCACTTTCTACATCTGATTATGTCTAATTCAGTGCGTTTACATGCACCATCTTAATGCGATTATAATGAGATTTTGACAATATTGCGATTAAACTTCACCTCATGTAAATGCAATACTTCGATCTAAATAATGCGATTAAGCTCATAATCGCAGGAAGCATAATCGTATTAACGTATTAATGCCGATTTTAATAGAAATATACAGGCATGTAAACACCTTAATCACATTACCACTCTGACCAAAGTGCACATGTGCTTGTGACGTACATGAATGACATGACACGCACCTGCAATAATACGTAGATTAGAAATGATGGGGGGGGGTTATTGTTTTACAATTTGGATGTCATGTTTTTCCCCTCTCACCTTCCTATGCACGGAGCTTATGGGAATGAGTAAATACAATACCGTGCTGAAATTCCACCCGTCCGTGTCTCGATACAATATCGCCAAGGAATATATTGCAATACTATGCTGTAGGCTATCAATCCCCTTACCCACCCACAATAAAGAAATAGCTTGACTTCAGGTGTGGTTGAAGAGAAAAGAGTGGCATGACACTTCACACACCGCGTCCACACTGGACACCAGCGGCGCGATGCAAAATGACAAATCCTCGACAGTAAACTGATTCCTCGTTCTATTCATTAGTACTGACAGAAAGTACAAAAGATCTGCAATGGTTGCTTTGTCACGTCCAGTGTGGACAGCCTCAAGCTGTTGCAGAGAGAAACAAATTCAGCTATTATGGTAGGACAATAAAATAACTATTGTGATTATATACAATTCTTTTATTTAAACTGTTGTATTGAACATTGTAAACCAATAACGTCATGCACACTGCATTGCAATCCTCTCCTGTAGCTCTTTTGCTAAACATAAAACAATTGCTTTTTCCTAATTATTAAGATGGATAAAGACGTACAACTATAAAATCAAATAGTATATGTTAAAAATTAAGTACACTGACTTCATTTTAAGACTTGTGTCATCAGTGGCCTAGAAAAATTGTTTCTATAAGGATGGTCGTCCTATCATGGTGGCTGTCATATTAAGATCACATGACTAGCTGAATACTATTAATTTAATTTCATTAATCTGCCTATTTGTAGACACTTTCAGAACATGTGTCTGTGCAAAGGGAATTTGTATAAGGCTGTCTGTCAAACAAACGGACCGCTTCTAGATTACAAAATGATAAACAGGTTAAGCAAAATGGTTAATTTGCATCCAAGGCACTTGTGTAACAGAAAAAAAGTTTAACATTTAATATCAGTTCATGATAATTTCACAGACAGATCTAATTACATCAGAAACTGCTTATCTTCTTGTTTTTGAAACAGGTGAAAATTTTTTGTCTGATCTCTTTGGTTTTAAAACCATAAACAAGTGGATTCACAAGAGGAGGAAAGACAAAATTGGAAATAGAAACAACTCTGCGTAGGAAAGCGGGAACAAACTCAGATCGATGAGCAACACTAGGAAACAGTGTGTTAAACTCTAACAACAGGAAGACAACCAAATGAGTACCACATGTCTGAAGTGCCTTAATCTTTGCATCAGACTGCTTATTAGTAACACAAGTGATTAATATATGAATGTATGTAAATGCCACAGCAGAAAGCGAAAGGCCGTGGTAAAAAATGATGCAACTTAACCCAACGATATTGTTCACCTCTGTGCCGTCACATAAGAGTTTCATTAATGCTGTCTTATAGCAGACTAGATCTGTCATGTGTGTCTGGCAAATCCTGTAAGGTACCAGAATGGAGAAAACTACAGTTATAAGAATAAAATTTAAAAGCCACATCCCAGTTATGATTTTCACCAAGTTATTGTTAGTCATAATGGCTCCATATCTCAGCGGGCAGCAGATAGCGCTTTTGCTAAATATCAAACAATTGCATTTTCTTTATTTTTAAGATGGAAAAAATGTACACCTACAAACATTAATAGTACAAATATGTTTAAAATTAAGTAGGCTACACTTACATAAAGATTTGTGTCATCAGTGGCCTAGAAAAATTGATTCCATAAGGAGGGTCGTCCCTTCATGGTGGCTGTCATGTTGAGATCACAACTGAGTACTATTCATTTAATTTCAGTAATCTGCCTATTTTTTAGACACTTTCAGAAAATCTTCAAAGGGAATTTTTATAAGGGCGTCTGTCAAACAAACTGACTGCTTCTAGATTACAATATGATAAACAGGTTATGCAAAATGATGAATTTGCATCCAAGGCACTTGTGTGATAAATAAAAGTTAAATATATTATCAGTTCATGATAATTTCACACACAGATCTAATTACATCAGAAAATGCTTATCTTCTTGTTTTTAAAACAGGTGAACATTTTCTGTCTGATCTCTTTAGTTTTAAGACCATACACAAGTGGATTCACAAGAGGAGGAATGATAAAATTGGAAATAGAAAACACTCTGCGTAGGAAAGCGGGAACAAACTCAGATCGATGTGAAATAAGAGGAAAAAGAGTATTAAACTCTAACAACATGAAGACGACCAAATGAGTACCACATGTCTGAAGTGCCTTAATCTTTGCATCAGACTGCTTATTAGTAACACAAGTGATTAATATATGAATGTATGTAAATGCCACAGCAGAAAGCGAAAGGCCGTGGTAAAAAATGATGCAACTTAACCCAACGATATTGTTCACCTCTGTGCCGTCACATAAGAGTTTCATTAATGCTGTCTTATAGCAGACTAGATCTGTCATGTGTGTCTGGCAAATCCTGTAAGGTACCAGAATGGAGAAAACTACAGTTATAAGAATAAAATTTAAAAGCCACATCCCAGTTATGATTTTCACCAAGTTATTGGTAGTCATAATGGCTCCATATCTCAGCGGGCAGCAGATAGCGATATACCTGTCATAGGCCATAGCGGTAAGAATAAGATAAGATGCTCCACCATTCAGGTGTACGAAAAAACCTTGAAGAAAACATGCAGGATAGGATATTGATCTGTCCTGAGACCATATACTATACAGCAGGTGAGGAAAAAGGATTGAAGCATTCATTGCATCATTGATTGGCAGGTTGAGCAACAGTATGTACATTGGTTTGTGAAGATTTCTGTTCATGCAAATTGTAATAATAATTGTGAGATTGCAGAGTAAGATAAACAAGTATGTTGTTAATCCAAATATGAATGCAGGATAAATGGTCGTCTCAGGCAGTTCCAGAGAGTGCAAAGTCAGGACCAGTGAGAGGACAGATCCATTTGGATACATGATGAATGTTCCTACTATTAACGGCCTACACAAACCAGCAACAAGCTGTTAATGCTATCAATATAAATAAAGAGTAATTATCAAAAATAATCCTGCCAGAATTTATGAGAAGTTGGTGTCCAACATTTATCCATTTAATTCTTTCATTTTGCCATATCCAGCTTCATCTTACATAGGCTACAACCTAAAAAAGGAATAATCATTAAAACACAGCAGGCTAAATTTGCCACAATATGATATTTTGTAAAATTCACATCTCATCAGATTAATAAGGCACATCTTTAACTGTACAATTTAAATAATTGTTAGTCCCCATTTGCTTAAATCCAATACAGTTGTTGACATTTGAAATAATGTGGTCTATTTGAACAAACTGTCATGCATAATGTCACCTTAAGTGATCATCCTTCAGCACTGTTAAATGTCACCTGTGGGCAAAAGTTTTATACACATGTAGTTGGGTGGATAAACTCCCATTTGTGTTGGATTAGTCATGGGAACAGGTGTTGTTTTGTAGCATGTGCACAGCCCTGCTGGTAGATAGTGTAGCTACACAATCTGATTTAAAAAAGCATCTCTCTGCTTTGTCATTCAAAAGTTGCTAAAAATACCAAAATAGCACATTGTACCTGGGTTGTTGACAAATAAAATGTCAGTTAACCCTTTTGGTTGATGAAAATATTTTATTTAGATTAATAAATATATGCTATGCTATGACTTCCCACACAGCAGACAATCTTAGTGTGAATATGGTCTCTGAAATGCACCTCGTCAGCCCAAGGATGGCCACGCATGGCAATTGCACTATGTGTGACAGCTAACAACATAAAGCTGACTGCTGGAAGGAGGTATTTGGCCCAGATCAAACCTGCGAGCATGTGGCTCATATCAGGCTTGTGATTATTAGCCACATTTGAAAGTTTTTCTAAATACATTTTTAAGGATTACTACATTTAATTATGTTTAATTGACATTCAAGTTCAAGAGTTTTCTAAATTGGTATAATGAAGTTTTCCTTAAGCCATTTTCCCATCATATCCATATTTGTTACATATTGAATGTGTATATTTTTGGGTTGATGTTTTACAATTTGGATGTCATGTTTTTCCCCTTTCACCCTCCTATGCACGGAGCTTTTGGGAATGAGTAAAAGTGCATGCAATACAACCCCGTGCTGAAATTCCACCCGTCCATGTCTTGATACAATATCAGCAGGCAATATTGCAATACTATACTGTATCGATCCCCCCACCCACCCAAAATGAAGAAATAGCTTGACTTCAGCTGAGGTTGAGGAGAAAAGAGTGGCACTACATTTCTAACACCACGTCTAATAGATAGAACGCATCCAAGCAGGCACAAGACGTCAATATAATGTCAGGTTGACATTGGACATGACGTTGGACAGACATTGCATTTTGGTTGAGAATGAAAATTGGGTTGACGTCAGTATTTGACACCAATTTGATGTTGACTCATTGTTGATTGAGAACCTAAAGAACCTAAAAACAACAAATATCAACATCAGTTGACATCGGTATTGGACATCAAATTAACATTGACATTAGACGTTGAATTGACATTGAATTTTGGTCACCAGTCATCACAACAGAAATTTAACCAAATATAAACGTCTTATAACGTTATGCTGGGATTTTAATCAGCACGTGATGCTGTATACACTGGATGTGGCACGGCGCGATGTGACACGACAAATCCCCAGCAGTAAACTGATTCCTCATTCTATTTATGACGTGCTGACACAAAGTACAGTACAGTATAAGTACAGTGTAGATGCGGTGTAATTCACCTGATGAACACAGTTGACTAGAATCTCACCTCAGAGAGAAACAAATTAAGCTATTAGGTTGGGGGAATAAAAAAAACTATTGTGATTATATACAATTCTTTTATTTAATCTGTTGTGCTGAACATTGTAAACCAACATTGTCATGCACACTGCACAGCCTGTAGCTCTTTTGCTAAATATCAAACAATTGCATTTTCTTTATTATTAAGATTGAAAAAGATGTACACCTCCAAAAAATGAATAGTACAAATATGTTTAAAATTAAGTACACTTACATGAAGACTTGTGTCATCAGTGGCCTAGAAAAACTGATTCCATAAGGAAGGTCGTCCCTTCATGGTGGCTGTCATGTTGAGATCACATGACCTGGGGAATGCCATTCATTTAATTTCAGTAATCTGCCTATTTTTAGACACTTTCAGAAAATGTATCTGTGCAAAGGGAATTTCTACATTCTGTCAAACAAGCTGACTGCTTCGATCTAGATTACAATATGATAAACAGGTTAAGCTTTAAAATGGCGAAATGGCATCCCCACGCACTTAGCAGAAAATAAGTTACATATAATATCAGTTCATGATAATTTCACACACAGATCTAATTACGTCAGAAACTGCTTATCTTCTTGTTTTTGAAATAGGTTAAAATTTTCTGTCTGATCTCTTTAGTTTTAAGACCATACACAAGTGGATTCACAAGAGGAGGAATGATAAAATTGAAAATAGAAAACACTCTGCGTAGGAAACCAGGAACAAACCCGGATCGATGTGCAAGAATAGGAAAAAGTGTGTTAAACTCTAACAACAGAAAGACGACCAAATGTGTACCACATGTCTGAAGTGCCTTAATCTTTGCATCAGACTGCTTAGTAACACAAGTGATTAATATATGAATATATGTAAATGCAACAACAGAAAGCGCAAGGCCGTGGTAAAAAACTGTACAAAACAACTCATAGATGTTGTTCACTTCTATGCCGTCACATAAGAGTTTCATTAATGTAGCCTTATAGCAGACAAGATCAGCTATGTACGTATGGCAAATCCTGTAAGGAAATAGAAGAATGAAAACTATAATTATAACAACAAAATTAAAAAGCCACATCCCAGTTATGATTTTCACCAAGTTATTGGTAGTCATAATAGCTCCATATCTCAGCGGGCAGCAGATAGCGATATACCTGTCATAGGCCATAGCGGTAAGAATAAGATAAGATGCGCCACCATAAAGATGTACAAAAAATCCTTGAAGCAAACAAGCAGAATAGGATATTGATCTGTCCTGAGACCATATACTATACAACAGCTGAGAAAAAAGGTTTGTAGCACCCATTGCATCATTGATTTCCAGGTTGAGCAACAGTAAGTACATTGGTTTGTGAAGATTTCTGTTCAAGCAAATGGTGACAACAATTGTTACATTGCAGAGTAAGATGAACAAGTATGTTATTAATCCAAATATGAATGCAGGATAAATGCTTGTCTCAGGCAGTTTCAAAGAGTGTAATGTCAGGACCAGTGAGCGGACAGATTCATTTGGCTACATGGTTAATATTCTTATTATGTCTGTGGCCTATACAAACAAACATAAAAAAAGCTAATAATGCTTGCTTGCAATGTCAATCTAAATAAAGAATATGAATAATAGGATAAAATCTAAAGTTATGTTGGTGTATGAAATAGATCTTTGTCATCCTTTCATTTTGCCAGTATCCACTATCCAGCAACATATTTCTTACAACCTGAAAAAAGCATCAAACATTTAAGAACGTGCTTTCAATCTCAACACATGCAATATAATAAAACTTCATTAAAGAATGAAAACTGTAACATTCTCACAGCAGCAGATTAATAAGGCACATTACTGTATAAGTTAAATTATAATGTTTAGTTCTCATTAAAATTGCTTCAGCCAATAAGCTGAGATTTGTAATAATGTGGCCTAT